TGGTTTGCATAGTCTGTTTAATAAGGGATTTCGTTACAGGCTGCTTTGGCCAGATGTGAAGCAGTGTATAGGTATTCTCTGAAACCCTGAAATTGAAAGCAAGACAAGCGATCAGCTGCAGTGTTTAAAACTCCTGGGACACGGCAGCACACCAAGTAAAACTGATTACAGGCCGCTAGCCACGTCCGTTTCCTAATGAACCTCATAATCATCAACGAAGATGAGCGGACTTTGTTGATAATATGGCAAATCGCTAGACCACAAATGGCCCCAAGCCACCGCTGCTGCCACATTAGGATATACCTCAAAAAGAGCTGAGTTCCTGTAGAACCCTTCTATTTCTAGTACCTCCACTGGCCAATTACCCCAGAGCCATTTGTCACCAAATATGACTGCAAAGCCCATGGTAGCTGCTGCTTCCGTCCAAATGACCGGGGAGTGTACTGAAACCTGCAGGAGAAACATGCTTCTCCCGTTCCAGTTAGAGAGAAACCTGTTCCACATGACTAGGTCCGCTGTGGCTAGCTAGGGCGTTAAGGGAGATACGGCTTAGGTTGTCAGGGAATGTGGGGAGTAGGCTAAGGAGTCTGGAGATGAAGGCTCCACTCTGTGGGATGACCCTCATAGCGAAGTTCAGGGAGCCTAACAGTGACTGCAATTCCTTCCGCTTACAGGAGCCGGTAAGCATGTAATGGTTGATATCATAGCGGATGCTAGTGACATTCTCCTGTGGAAGGCTAGCCTCGATGGCCACTGAATCTAGGCGTATCCCTAAGAAATTAATACAGGTGTCAGGACCCTCTGTTTTCTTTGGTGAGACTGGTACCCCCAGTGTGTTGCATAACGTGACTGCTTTCCCCAGGCTGCTCAAGGGGGAAGAATTGTTCTGAATTAATAAAAATCATCTAGATTGTGGATGACGGTATGGCACCGACACGTATTCAGGAGGAGCCAACACAATGTCTCCGCAAAAGTATCAAAAGTTCTAGGACTAGTCTTTGACACGAAGGTGTGTCTAGTGAAAAAATAATACAGGCCTTTCCATTTAATGCCGTGCAGGTGCCATAATGACGGGTGAATGGACAATAACTTAAAGGCATTGACAATGTCGGTCTTGCTGAGCCAGGCCACCATGCA